GTAGTTGTTAGTTGTCTTCCAGGAAGAATTACGAAGGGAGGTATTCCTTGATCCGGCAATCCTTGAAAAGAAATCGGTTTTAACCCTGAAGGTAATCTTTCACGAAAACTTGGTGCCATTTTTGTCAGACTCCATTTGTATGGCGGTTTCTTTTATAATGAAAAAAAAAAAAGTACAATTAAATTTTTTGACCATTGAAACACACATTGTATAAATATCATGGACAGAAAGATACCTGAGTAGGATTTTTGTATGGACTACCAAACGCTCGCTTATCATCTTTCTTTTTAGCATCTGCATTATCTTCTTCGAATGGGTTTCTAAAATTATCTTTTTTAATCATTTTTATCATTATCTCTTTATTAAAATTTCCCATATCTCCAGTGCCAACCGACTTCACGGAATCTAAGAATAATTTACTATGAATAATTATGATAATTACAGAAGACGAATGTAACTTATAACAACCAACCCGTTTCAATCGGTGTATTTAGTGATTCCCGAAATTCACGTCTTATCGTAGATGTTATGTCTAGCAAAGACATCATATCATAATTCTATAATATTATAGTAAAGTTTTCTAGTAAAAAAATAATAATAATAATTAAAAATAAGGATTAATAAATTTAATACAAACCGTTTCTGGCAATGGCGTCGTTCTTGTTACACACGGTATCGTCCTTGTTACACCCTGGATTTTAAACAAAACAGAGATTAGTTATTAATCAAAGATTATCAGCAATTTTTGGATACATACCCAACGATTTGCCACAATATCCTTTCGCATTTCATCCAACTTCGGGTTTGCGAATTGTTGTACTATTTGATTTACTAACGTATCAAGACCATCTGTTTTTGGTTTAGTAAAAAGACTAATATCGACCCTCCTATCAAGACCGCATGAGGCGAAAACCTTAGATAGTGGCTTTGAAAATTTTGAAAAAGAAATAAATTTTAGAGTTATATTAAATTAAATACAATCCGATAACATGATATATACATATTTATTACCTGTAAATAATACCAAGGTAAATTTTTCCGATAATTTTCGAAAGAGACTTTCCACTCTAAGGTTGGTTCCGGCCTCAATTGGTCTTTAAAAAATAATAAGTAAGATACAAAATATGGAACTAACATGTGTGGACAGTCACCATAAAGTAACGTCGAGTCTCTATTATATGGACGTTGCCTTCATGGGAGTATGAAAACATTAGATTAAATAAAATAAATAAAATGAAAACGTACGTAGCAACTTAAACAATATAGGATAGTTGTAAGGAAGGATCACAAGACTAACTTCCATATCAGTCTCATTCTTCTTTCCAGCAATTAAGTAACCAAAAGAATCACCAAATCCCGGTGCTCGACCACTTTCTTTAACAAACACCTAAAAATTATAAATGGTATACTCAGTGTTGACAAATACCAATTCAACTCAAAAATGATGTTGATTTAGCAATAAATAAACATACAGGCCACTTTGTCCCTGGCTTTTGGCTCTGTAGTTCTCTAGTTATATCACAATCCGAAACTACGTAACTATCACGTGGTAAATATGATGGTACATCGTGCGTATTAGCACAAAAATCGTTCTCTTTCCAATAATAGATTGTTGGTATCGCCGTTCGACGAATCTAATTATTAACGAATAATTCTTAATTTGCGTTACAAAAGGAGCAATATAAACAAATAACTTATTTACCAAAGATGGCGTGTCCATTGGTAATCTCAATACTTCGGAATTTATCCAAAAGTTTTCAGGAATCGGATAATACCCTTCGTGTTTGGCAGGGTCGACATATAATTGGACAAGGCAACCATCATCTGTTGATACATTACCTACAACAAATGATGTCATGATTAAGTTTACAAGCTAACCAGAAAAAGAAAAGGCTAACACTAAGCTACAAATGGACTTACTACATGCATCGACAAAGTTTACCATTACGCCGCATGTTGCAAAAAAGGTATATGGGTACAATTCTTTAGAGCGTGGATATGGATCTTTCTGAGTACCAAGGATATTGCCAATTGCATGCAGGACTTCATTTTCATTCTGTACACTATATAATTGCCCTACGTTTATATAAATTCGGTTATCTAACTTACATATCAACTATAGAAATTACTAACATTCAATGATATTACGTACCACGCATTCTAGCGTTTGCTACGTTTAATATATCGGGAACTTCATAAGTCTCTGATGAGAGGAAAAAGGTATAAAGCTTTTGTTCCCAACGAAACTTTTCAGTGTAAAAATTTGAACTAGGAGTTCTGTTCTCAGGCTAATTCATTATTGTGTTAGTTTAATTTTAAAAATGATTAAGAATGTAATAAATCTATAATTACCAGATAATCTAGAGTAGTCTTTAAATAGTCAAGATTTTTTCCATCCGTAAACCAGAATATACCCGTAGTTTCATTATGCTCAACATATCGACCCTTAAGTATAATGGAAATTAAGATCACACATTAAAATTGTAAGTAAAATCTGACGTCGAAACGAAGGTAGTATGAGCTCGTGTCAGTTGGATTACTTTGTGTATGAATGGATGAATAGAAAATATGAGACAAGTGGTGATAAAATATGATTCGCATAATGATGATGCGATCATGAATCATCTAATACTTAATATTTCGTATAAGTACCAACATAACGTACTCTATAGAACGAATCCATATGACGTGTAATTCTGCGCAGACTCAACAATTCAAACACTGAAGAAAGACCATTTCCAACTCGAGAAGGCTCCACAGGTAGTAATAGCTCAAGTTGCTCAAAAAGTGTATTTATTGGATCATGAAACTCCGTCTAACATATTCAAGGGAAAACATTATAATTATTGTATAGTAACACTACACTGTTAAAAAACAAACCTACTTTCAGGCAATGACGATGATGATCTGAAGTTGCGAGAATGTATTTCACATTATTTGCGTGTTTTCCGTTATTCACTTGCTAGATAAATATATTCAAAGAAAAATATGAATTATAAAATAAGATCAAAAATAAACGGCATTATAAATTTACCTTTACAAAACTTCGAATTGCTAATTTGGCAATATCCAATAGAGAATATCCATCTCGATATCTCGAAACACCAACATCTACTAAGAATACAATAATCATCTTGCAAATCTGAATGGTGTAATATCGGAGATAATTACCGATGGAACATGATTAAATTTAAATTCAATCAACTTTGTCAAAGTCGATTTGATAAAAAAATTACTCACGTGTCGATAAATATAACCTGACTCCTCGCGCGTATTAACACTTTAAACACTCAATTCTATCCCGTGGATAAAAATAGAAGCGGTTTAGTAACCGATTATCGAGATATTACTGCGGCACAATCTCGTGACCTCCAGATATCGATATACTATTTACTTTGTTTTGCTATGTTTTACAATATTAGCTCTTTACAAATGACAGAACTAATCCTAACCAAAAGTATATTACTAGGATACCACTCCTGTCAAGCTCTTATGAAATTTAACAATTCACTAAAAAAAAAAAAGAAAAAAAAAAAAAAAACAATCTCGAGAAGCTAACGCACCTATAAAATTTTTCTATCAAGAGTCGGCATACGACAAATAGGAAGGACCTCTCTTCGGCAAAAATAAAATTTAGGTCCCTTTTATACTTTTTATTGATTGCAGAATGATCATCATTGTTACTAAAAATTCAGGTAAATGTGACACAGGATTGTTCATACATCCATATGTGGGGGACGTCTAAAGCGGAGGCAACTTATATTTAATAATTTTTTCGATTAATTTAGGGTTAGGGTCTTCTATATTG